CCAAGATTCCCACCACTCCCTTCCGAGATCAGGTGGTGAACCTGCAAGCACTGCCCTCGGAGGAGGCAGATCCAGGCCATGCGTTGCTGTGTCCCGTAAGAGCACTGCGCATATACGTGGACCACACCCGGAGCTTTAGAAGCTCTGAGCAGCTCTTTGTCTGCTACGGAGGTCAGCAGAAAGGGAAGGCTGTCTCCAAGCAGAGGTTGGTCCACTGGATAGTGGATGCCATCGCCTTGGCGTACCAATCCTAAGGCGTGCCGTGCCCCCTGGGGGTGAGGGCTCACTCCACACGGAGTGTCGCCTCCTTCTATGCGCTGGCGCACGGCGCCTCCCTGGCAGACATCTGTAGAGCTGTGGGCTGGACGACACCGAACACCTTCGCGAGATTCTACAGTCTACGCGTTCTTCCCGTGTGTTGGGTAACAGGTAATCGGCGGGAAGAGCTGTCCGGTGTCATGCTTGCTGCATCATTCCCCCTCACCCGGTGATGCGAGTGCCTTTCTCCTCCTCCAGTAAGTTCCCCGGACGGCGAACACTGGCGGAGTAGGCTCCGGAAGGCTCGCTTCCCCATCGTTTCTGCCTAAGCTGTAAACATCAAATCGGAAAAACTTGAAGCAAATCTTAATATGTAGTTTTTAATATCTCTCTTGTAAAAATATATTTTTCTTCATTGACGTGGTCACCATCCAAAATTAGGATATTCTTGGTCATCTTAATAACACATATAAAAATATACTAAAAAAAAAAAAAAAAATCAAAAATGTGAAACAATCCTAGTGAAAAGAGGGACTAAAATGCTGCTCATATATGTGAAAATTATCACATAATTCTAATTAAAACTACAGTATATAGTAATGCTAACAGGGTAACAGGGTTGACAAAAATACCAAAATATGTGGCAGAATAATTGTCATAAAATAATAAATTGCATACCCTGAGATGGCACAATACAATTTCTTGTCATTTTAAGGTGTCTTCATTTCATGGATTTTTAAAATGTTTTTATTTATTTATTTATTATTGATTGACAAATTTAAAATAGGACTAATACTAATAATAAAACTAATAAATATTAAGAACCAATAAAATGACAAAGCCCACAACAAAATTACTAAAGCTTTAACTAAAATGAAAATGAAAGCAGAAAATCTAACAATAAAAACAAGTTCAGTTAGTATCTTCATGATACTGAAATAAAACTGGCATTAATTTGATTAATCAGATCAAGTGTCTGTATGGCAAATGCTCTTCACTAACTTCACTCTTCCTTACTTTTGCATTTTATTTATTTATTTTAAGCTGATGTGTGAAGCTCACACGTGTCCTATAACAGAGGACTGTAGTTCCAAATCTATAGTTTTAGCATCTCAAAACTGCAATGCGTGCTGTATGTGTTGGTTTAATATTAGGTTAAATAGTGCATTTATAAAATTTAATAAGATGTACTTTTAAGAGTGGTTCAACTGAATATGATAACAGATATAATTACAATAGAGCCCAAATAAAAACAACAAAAATATAAACTCAAACTGACTAAATCTATTCGCAGTAGAAACCACGTATATACAGCTACACAGCTTGTGGAGTCACATGATATCATGGAGAAATCCCAATGAATTAAAGCAGATAGACTAAAGAACATACTTTAGCTTTAACTTTCATGTACTATAATGGTGCTGCAGCTCTGAAATGTCTGCACCAAACCCAGCACATAGAAGCACATGTTAGAGATGAAAGATCACACACACACACACACACGCGCGCACACTGCTCACGGGACACGGGTTCATGCTCCTCGGGGAATTTATTAAGTGCTTGTATTTTTGTCATTTTTTCTTTCATTTAATTTGTATCACTTGCGCTCCTGTCTGGAATCGTGGTATGGACAGTGAAGCAACTAGAAAATCATTTACATCACTTTTTTTTTTTGTTGTAGTTTTACTGACTTGGAGACCACGAACATTCCAGCAACACACTCTAGGGTAGATGAGAAACAATCAGAAAGCTTTTTGCATAGTATTAAATGAACAAAGACATTGAGTTTTTTATTTACAATTATTGTATAGATTATAAAATTCATAAAAACAAGATGGATGAACACTTTTCATTTACCCATAAATTGCTAGTGCGCCAAAAGTACCTGTGGCGTCGTATGCTCTTTGTTCCACAAAACGCATGCTGCTAAGTACAGTACATAGAAGCTGATGTATTGCAAGAAATATTATTATTCGTGATTATTAGAATGCTGTCATCCTTCCGGTTTATTGGTTAAACATTTTAAATTGCATCCGTTATTAGGCCCGTCAACACAGGGCACAGAACTAAACTGAATTCAACTGAAGTGGCCAGTCATACCGTAAAAGATCTCTTCTGGAGTCATTGCATTCCACGCACATTTCAGACAAACTCCCCTGTGGCGCCTTTCAACGTGTCAGAGGTGATTCTTTTGGTCAGTGCACAGAATGATTGTGAATGAGGCTTTGACATGTGTTAAAGGGATAGTTCACCCATCAGCCGATCAATTGAAAAGATCAGTTTGTTCATCATTAGCTCTCTCACGAAGGTCATGATCTTCTGTAGATAATTCCTTTATTTTAATCTGCTTCTGTTGTTTCATATGTCTTTAGAAGAATAGAAGTCATGCGGCTCACTTCTCTGAAGCTTTCATGGTGCTTTTGGAACGGCGTGAGGGTGAGTAAACTATACCTTTAACATGATAAAGGGCAAACGATTTCTGGGGGAAAAAAAAAAAATCTGTCTCAGTTTTACGTATTTATATCTCTCGTTGAGTATGCCTGAGCTAACAGTTAAAGCTTGTGCACCTTATCTTGATGAGTAAAAGTTCAATTTAAGAACGATGGAGAAAAATGAGTTGCATATTAAGTGTATGACATCATGCCTTTCCAATTCCAAAGAACATCAATGAATACATGGGCGACTTCATAAGTGTGCCTTCCGACAGACCCCCGTTTGTCCTTTCGCTTCTAGAGTACAATAAATAGTTAACGACTAGTGAATACTGTTGAGATGCTAGAGTATATTTACTGACTGCAGGAAGACAAGCTTGATTTGAACACAGAAGTACATCTAAATTTACACCACAGAAATTCATTCATATCCGGATAGTGCAGAAAAGGATCATAAATGTATATATAGATATATAGATTTTTTTTTTGTTGTTGGTTTGGGTTTTTCTTTTTTTCTTTTTTTTTTTTAAGAAAAGAGTCAAAAGCAACATTCCTTCTTTTCGTTTCGTTACATGATAATTCATAATTCAGTTGTTCAAAGTGTCGTCAGCTCAGCAGCTGGGTTCATTTCCTTTAACCAAAAGAAATATACAAATTAAATGTCAAAAAGAAGAATCAACACAATAAATCACAATATTTGAACACAATTTTGATTTCCATACAGAGATGCCAGATATAACTTAGTTTACATGTTTCCAACATAAAACCCATCGCAGCTTCTGATGGTCACACAGAACTGAAACTATTTTATGTTAAATAGTATGTACTTCTAAAGAAGATATTTAAATCCAACCTGATATATCTGCTCACGTTTGAGGCCGACCGCAAGTTCATCGCCGAAACCTTTCGAAGCCAGCCAAACCGATTTAATGTTTTCGGGGTGCTCGGAGCCGTCGATCCCGACACTTGTTTAATACTTCGATGCCACGTGAATGATATATCCCACTATATTTTGGTTTCTTTTGTTATCTTCTAAAAATATCTACATTATTTGACAGAATAGCAGGCAAGTCCAGCGCACAATTGGAAATAAAACATCTAAAGTCCGATATTACAGGAGTACTGAACAACGTGAGCTGTTCCAACTACGTCTGCTGCGTGGTTTTGAACCCTACAAAGAAGTTTTAAACCCTACAAAGAAACCAGGACGTATCTACAGGTTTGTAAACAAATTACATTCTCTTTAGGACATAAATAAGTTAAAGTAGTTATGGAAGCAGAACCAGGCAACATGCCAACAAATAAAGATAAACTCTGTAAATATATATTTATAATATGTCTATAAATATATATGTACGCTTAATAAATTCTAATGGGTTTTTCTTTTTCCGACAGGTGCAAATCTACTGTGCAAGTTCGGAGTCCTGCGACCTGGATACACCTTAATCAATAACCAAATAAATCTATACAATTAGATACATGCCACACACAATACTCACAGATCAGTGAATCAGAGAAGCCGTCTTAAAATAGCAGTCCACCGCACATTCCATCAAATCAAATCAAAACCGTTTAAATAAAAATAAAGGTTTCCAAATAAAAACCTGGGTAATGTACATTCATGCAGGAGCAACGATAATAGCTGAATTCGATTTAAATTACTCGTAGTCGTTTCCTCAGGAAGTGGGAGCGGTGCGCTTACGCTCTTGTATTGTTTCTCGAGTCGCTCCGCGATCGTCCGAGTCAGTCGTCGTTCATGCGTTCGATAAAAGAATGCGGCGCGACCACACATACAGTCAACAGTACACGATTCGCGTTCGTGTGCACTCCGGAGCGCTTTTAATCGTAGAGTCTAAGATGATTCTTGAGTGGTCTCCCACGCGAGGTGGCTAAAGCGATGTCTCCAGACTATGAAGCGGGCTCCCGGGACTGGAGGAAGCAGCAGATTTATTTGTGTCGGTTGTCAGGTTTATGCCGCTGTCGATGGCGTTGTTGTTCTTGTTGGGAGATGAGGGCTGACTGGAGTTCTTCCTGGCTGCCTCGTCGTCAATGTCGGTGTCGTCTATGAGAGGAATGTGAGGTGTGGAGTCCTCTATTCTAAACTCTGGATGAGTCATGAAATTGTGGATGGAGGTTCTGGATTCGGGTTTTTCCAAGCCTTCGTAGAGGGAGCTACGAAATGCGTTCACAACACGTATCTGCGTGAGGAAAGAGATCGCTGTCAAAGGCTTGGAAAGTGAGCTCGGAAGACCCCCCAGTGGCACAGTGACAACAGGAGGAGGGAAAGAAAACATTTGGAAAGCATCCCTAATTCACTTATTCTACCGTGCACAGTTTAAGGATTGCATCGAAAAGAACATAACTCAAACTCATGGTAAAATAATGAGACTGGAAAGGAAAACATAGGCAATGCTCTTCTGTCCCGTACAGTACACAATACAGTCTACAGTGTATGGTCCAAAGTGTTGCATACCTAGAGACAAGCATTGTTAATTCAACAAAAATGGAACAAAAGAAGTAAAAAACAAAGGAAAACCAAAACGTCATGCAAGTTGAACACATCTCGTGGAAAGTTGGTAAGAGGAGTAGATTAGATATTGAGATCCAGGATGAGTTTCAAGGTAAACGCAAAGGCAAACAAAAGAGAAGTCGTCTACAAAGATTTACATAGAGGATGACAAGGACAGGAGAGCCTATGCTTCGAGAGCATAGAGTCACAACATGATGATGGAAGCGAACCAAAAGCTTGACAAGCCAACTCAACGACTACACACAACATGCAGCTCGGGACAACACCATGTGGAGATGAACACAGGCACACAGACTGTGGAATAAGAAAAGAGACCAGAACAAACACAAGTCTGTTCTTTCAACAACTCCATGCGTCTCTGTGTAAACACTCAAGTATAGGCCGAAGAGTTTTGTTCAGATTCACGGAACTGCACTAAAAAATAGGAGAATCACTTAATGAGTTGTTACTGTGTGGAACTGAGACTTCCTAGAAATATTGTACTGTGCTAGTTGGGAGTAGCAAATATTCTGCTTCAAAGGGTGCAATTACGAACAAGCAAGTACAAAAATCTAGGCATAATTCTCACACTAAACTAATGATGCATACAGTCTATGGTCCTGTTCCACAACCTCGTGAGCTGCCTACCCAGACAGCAAGATGTCAAATTCTTCTGGCGAATTCTAAGGTCCTAAGGCAATCCCAGAATGCATTGCAACAATCTTGGTGTTCATTTTCATCCAAGATGGTGGTTGAGAATTTTTTGTATGTTATTCAATTCTTCAAAGCATTGACAAAAAGTTAATAGCCAATATCTGTCTTGCCTGCTTATTAGAGCAAGGGTATCAAACCTGTCCCTGGAGCCTTGCTGAGGTTAACTGATTAATCAGGGTTGGAGCTAAACTCTACAGGACAGTGGCCCTCCAGGAAAAGTTTTGGAAAGTGTTGAGTTGTTAGCTTAGCAACACACTAATGTCAGACTAGCATTGTGATCAATTTTTCTTCAAGTGAGGAATCAGAGTTCACTATAGAACGTTTTATATCTGTCACTTATGAGATTCTGTTTGGCTTGGGATGCTACCTTAAGGCAGGGGTGTCCAGTCCTGCACCTGAAGGGCCACTCTCCTGCAGAGTTTAGCTCCAGTTCCAATTAATCAAGATCTTCAGGATGACCAGAGACTTCCAGGCAAGTGTGCTGGGGACAAGTTGAAGCTAAACTCTCCAGGACATTGGATTGGACAGCACTGCCTTAAGGGGTAGATGGAAAAAAAATCATAAGTTTCTGAGGGCCAGTTTTACTAAACGGGGCAAATTAGCGCGAGAGCGCAATCCCAAAACAGCACCGTTGAGCATGGAAATTTCTGCTGGGGATTTACTAACAACACGCAAATTAAAGAACACAAACGCAACATCTCATTTACATATTGAACGACGCAATATACCAAGCGCAGCGCAAATTAGCGTAGTCGCAAATAAAGAATAAAGAAATAAATAAGCCACAGTAACTTGAAAAGAACCGGAGGCCAAAAAGTATAGGGTTGCAAGAAGTTTTGATAGAGCTGGTATTGAGTGACTCCTAGTTGAGGGTTCCAAGTCGTCTTTGATTTTCTAAAGCAAATTAAAAATAACATGGCTTGTCAAACGATATGTTCGGATAATGTGTTCTTCTGGCATTCCAAATAAATTAATATGTGTGGAAAAAAATCCTCTCCCTTCTACCCTTCTCTCTGTGCCTCCTCCTAGCAACAATAATTGCAGCCATTTTTAAGCGCAAAACAGTTTAAGACATGCTTTTTTGGGGCATTAAATAATGGCGCAAATGGCAGTAATCTGACGAGCACAAACATTAGTAAATCTCGTTGCGTGATTCATTTGAATACTCTCCTCCCATAAATTTTGCATCTGAAAGGGAAACTCCTACAAATGCATATTCAATAAGGTCAGGTGCAAAAATAACTGTGTCCACACCTTTTCAGCGCTAATTCTTCACTGCCCATCTTTAGTAAAACCTGACAGTACTATTTTAACGTCAAAAGACAGTTTGCGCTGGTGCAAGCTTATAGTAAAACTGGCCCTAAGTGTCTATACTGTTGGTTACTAGCAGACGCTCCTACTCAAACTGTATACCCGCATCTATGAACTGCCCCAACTGAAAATGAGTAACCTGCAGCCTTTGCCACTGTCCGTGTAAACCACTCTCTTGGAGGGAGATGCCAGAGCGAAAGTTAGGAGCTCGATAGGGTTTGGAACTGAGCCTCTATCATACCACCAACTACTGACCTGCTGAACATAAAATTATCGAAATCAGCGAACTACCTCTAACGACCATCAAACTCGATTCTTACCTTCTGTCCTGGTAGCAAATAGCACGCTTTCAACCTAGCTAAGAGCAAACTTGCAAAGCCAACACAAACGGGTCTGAATGACAGATGAAAACAAATGTCAGAAGGAATCACATAGATGAAGACTGGCCTAACGTTTAGTGAGATTCTGCAGCTGTCAGCATCACACAGCAGACTACATGACCAACAGAGTAAAGCCACGAGACATAATGGGTCACTGTGGGCCTCGGATCTACATCACACAGACGACAAACAAGACAAGACTATGGGGAGGAAGAGCCACTCTCTTCACACGTCTCCGTAGCTGTGTGGAGAGAAGAAAAGTAAAAAAGGGAACAAAACAGCCTCCCGTGATCAATAGAGTAACTTCAACAATGCAGCCTAGAGCATTTCGGAGAACATGTCAGGCTACAGCTGAGTGGGGAATGGTACAGTTGGCTATACTTGAATGTTTACCCAGCCTGGTGAGTTTGTTGGTGGAATATTAGTTCACATCAATTTTGCGACGGACAATGGAGGGACTCACAACCTGTAATTCACTTCGTAGGCTGCACCCTTAGTCCAGGGCTCTTAGCACTCTGGGGAAAACAAACACATGGTACATTGAAACACATGTTCTTCTGAGAAGTGGGTTAAAGATGATCCTGATAAACAGTGTCATGAAGAGTAAGAGGAAATCAGAAGCAAAGCAGATTTTCAGGGATGCCCTTTGACAATACTTTACACTAATTTGTTTACACTAAATGTCTAAAGAATAAGAAATAGTTTGGGAGCTCCAGTGTAATGCCAAATCTCCATTGGATCCAATAGGTAATGCCTGATTAGAAATGTCTGTCAGATCTTCCCACTGTAGCTGTCGGAGCCATAATCTTTTGGCCAGTGCTCTGACATATGGACACACTGTCCTATTGAAAGTTAAAAAACACCCAAAAAATATAACTTAAAAAAAAGCTATCCATTGGCGAAGTACCTGCAATTTGTAATCTGTGTGAGTAGTGCACAATTTGAAATCTTACATTTCTTATGGAACCACAGAACATTTCTGAGTCAGTTATCTGAGCCGTAAATGCCATGTGACTGATATAGAGTGTAGGACTACAAAAATATTAACTTAAATAAAAAAAAAATAAAAACATATTATACTATACAAATTTTATAGTATTATCACCCTTGGTTGAAATGGAGGTTTTTGGGGTCAGTTATCATCCCTTATCTGAACCCTGAGCACAAATCCTTGTGAAAATCCACAATTTTTTCTATTCTATCTGTTTTCTTTTTATTTATTATATAATTTAAAAAACAAAAACCTTGGTATGTGTACTGCATTAAGCTAACTGATACTTGTTATAGCACTTGCATATCATTGCTCTTTTGTTGATTTTGTCGCTTTGGATAAAAGTGTCTGCTAAATGACTAAATGTAAATGTAAATCCGGCCAGAGTGTGCAGTGGTTCTTTAAAACTCACAATTAACATAATGAAATGGCACACTAAATGGTGCTAAATGTCTTCATACTTCATAATTGTCCAAGGACCTGTAAACTCAGAATTACTGTAATTAAAAGGTTCCAACAAATCATGTCTTTATCAAAAGCTTGTACATTTGAAACTGGGAATTCTATGGCGTTTCATTACAAGTCATAATGTGGTGTGTGCCTTGTTTTTCATTTACTTTGTAAGAGTGTATCGTGGTGAATTCATGTGATTAAAGGGGACATCGGATGCCCCCCTTACGAAAATTAGCCATGGTTTTATTGTAGTAAAAGTGTAGTAACCATGTTTTTTTGGCATATTGATTACCATTTGTATAACCACAGTTTTACTACAAATACCATGGTTAAACTATAGTTAGTGTAGCAAAACCATGGTTAATCTGTAGTTAGCATGGTTTAACAGTAGTAACCATGGTTTTTTGGTTGTATTTTTAGTAAAATCATGGATAATTTTCGTAAGGGACATTTTCCACAAGTTGGATAATGATCCTTTAGGATATTCATGAAATGTCTGCTAAATACGTTAGTTAAAATTCCTTAATGGTTGTGTAAAACAATAACCTTTTTACCTTGTCATAAATATTTCTGTATACGGCGACATGTTTCGGTGCATGTCTCTTTAAATGTTAATGAGCTATTCCTCACCCGTTTTTTGTGTATTCAGTGGCACATTACCATCAAAAACAAAATTAACCGTGTCCTCAGTGGCTCATATGTCAGGAGAAAATAAATACTCTTATGTTCACTTTTACATGCAACTACAAAACACCTGCATTGCCAACGAGACATGGCTGAGGGCGGAAATATGCTAATACAGGACAGTCTGTCAGTGTCCGTGGGCGGGGCCTGAGCAGTATGATGTCATACTGCTCAGAAAATCAAAACGGTTTGATAATTGAGACTGTTTAGGTTTTTTGGGGATTAAAAAAGAGGAGTGAATGGATTTTTATCATTGTAGGGTGGTTGTGTCCACACACTGCTAAGACATATGTATATCCAAATACAACATAAAAGTGAATTTTGCATCCGATGTCCCCTTTAAGGATTTAGTTGTCAATAACAAAGCTGTACATGGATCTATTTTGCTGTTGCCATAGAAACAAATCATTTCTGACTCCGAGAATATGAACAGCTCTGAGTAGCTGTTGTCTCGTAATTATGGTAACCCTCACATAAGATTAATGCAGCATTATATTTACAACAGACTGCAGAACAGAGCTTCTTTCTAGAATCTCTGCTGCAGAGCTGCTTCCCTGTGATGCCTTTTTCATAATGTTTACTGTTCAGTGTTCAGTCTGAAATGTAATACTTTGCACTTTGAACTTTCATGACCTACATGGATATATTTAGGTTGGGGCCGCATCTCATATTTTGCAATGTTCTGGCTCCAGATTTGTTATACCCCTGTTGAAAAAAACAACATATGCAGGTTAGGTATGTTTTGAAGCATTGGCAGCTGGATTAAGCTGGTCCTTAGTTGGTAATGAGCTGGTGTAAACTGGTCCTGAGCTGGTTATAAACTGGTCCTGAGCTGGTTTAAGCTGGTCATGTGCTGGTTCTAAGCAACTAGCTCCTGCTCAGGACCAGCTCATAACCAGCTTAAACCAGCTCATGACCAACTAAGGACCAGCTTACACCAGCTCAAGCCAGCAGCCATGCTTCAAAACATACCTAACCAGCATATGCTGTTTTTTTCAACAGGGGCATAACTGTTTTAAAAAGAGTTCAAATCTCTTTGAATTCAGTAATTTTTTGGTTTCGTTATGATTGGCCCACTTCAGGTCTGGAGTCCAAGAGCATCCCTGACAAACACCCAAAGAAGAGTGTCACTCACGCCCAGAGGGAGCAGCAGCAGTGCTGGTAGGAGAGGAAAGAGCATTGCACAAGGACACGTGACTAGGACTAGAAACATGGGTTACATCCTGATTTTGACTGGTGGTGGAGGACTGGCGTCTCAGAGCCCCCTGAAAGGAAGTCCCGCTCTTGAACGTGTTCACTACATCGATCTGCAGGAAGGGGGAGAGAAATGCATGGAGCAATGCTTCATCACATGGACATGGTTTAGAAGACTATGACAGGCCCTCATCACACATTAAACACTTCATCTGAAATTAGCACTGAGGCTTTGATGGCTTTAGAAAGGTCCTCCTCCCCGCTGTTGCAGCTTTGACAGCAGTCCCGATGAACGCCCAGAGACCCTCGAGAGCCTTGCCGCAGGACTGCATAAGAGTACTGTTATCATATCACATGACAAACAACAGGCCATAGCAATTCACCGTAAATTATCTGCATGCCACTACCAAAACTCTGTCGCATGCAGCGCATTATACAACAGTTAGTGCTGCTCCTCTAATCTGATTGGACAGATGGCATTCCGTTAGTGCAGATATTTAGAATATGGGACGTTTTTCCCTGTTCGCTGCTTGTCTGTGTTCGTAGTGTTCCAGATCAGTGTATGTGAGTGGAGCTGTACGATTTTGCCTGGACCGAGAAGCAGTTGAGCGGAAGTGAAGTTACAAAAGTCTTTGAGCAGGTATGGCCAATCTCTGTCACTCCACTCATATACACTAATCCAGTCTGTGTGTTGCTTTGATGGTTGAGACTGTTTTCAACAATGTAATAAACTGGACAACTTTGTCTCAAACATCATTAAACTGTTGTATAAAAGCATCACGACACTCACAACGGTGCTATTGGTCCAAATATCAGGACTCATGCCCAAATCACAGCCGTGATGCTATTCAGAACAACATCGTGCTTGTGATTGTGATATTGCTTAAGGACATGATTTTAGACTGGAGTGAAATATTATTGCAGGAATGGCGTATGAATGATCTGAGTGGGGGCGATGTAAACATATTGGCTTTGCTCAGTGAAAAAGTAGTTCTAAATAACTTTTTTTTTTAAATTTCCAGTGTAGGCACGGGTTTAGAAATGCAATTATGTTGTTCCTAAAAATTTACAGCACCCAGAATCATACTTAAGCTTTATCTTGAGGTTGTCATTGTAATGTAGATCTAATTATGCAAAACGCTATTCAATAAATGACTGTTCGGTTGGAATATAAAAGTGTTTTCATGAAAGGTGTACTGACAGCCCATGATCAATGCAACAGTACTGAAGTCTTGCGATCAGCGCTGATGTTTGTGCCAGTAATGGCATTTGGCAGAGCTGTGGTTCAACCTCCGCATTGTTCTAAATCTGGCTGTAAAACACACTGCCAGCCATGCAGATGGTTGAATCTCAAGTACATAATTACAAACACAACTGATGTTCCAGCAGAAGTATAGCTAATTCCCACAGATGCCATTCGCAGAATTCATGCTGAATATTTCATGCGGAAACTTTCGTAGCTTCCCAAAGGCTGTCAGAGGTGCTAACCTGAGTCTGGATTCTGTTGAGGCCTCTGAACCAGAGGATCTGCCCTCGCCGCAGCTCCCTCTCAGCGTGATCGATCTCCTCCTGGTCCTCGTTCATCTCCTCCTCGTGCATTTCATCCTTCTTTGACAGCTGACCAGCCCCTCTGAGGAACCTCAGCTTGCTGTTTGGGATTGTTGAGATAACCTGACCCAGAGCAGGATACACGTGTATGGATATTAGAACACTATAGCACACAAAACAGAGCTCCATCCTCACAGATCCAGGTGAGGAACAAGCCATGTGTACTGCTTGTAGAACATCAGGACAGCTGTATAGTTATGCTGGCAGATACTGTTGACAATTCGGATGGCAAAAAGAACACTTACAAGCAACTACCAATGAGATACATACAGTAGGCTATATTGCTCACAATTCCTTCATATAGAAACTGACCAAACAGTGAGTTTTCCGTGTCACTATTTTTCATCCATGGAAAATCTGAAAATCTTTGAAGGCGATATTTTGGCTGTGACCCTGGTGACCCTGAAAATATTCCCAATTAAGTGATACTAAAATCAACTTTCTGTTCTTAAAGGGTTAGTTCACCCAAAAATGAAAATTAGGCTGCGTTTTACTCACCCCCGAGGCATCCTAGGTGTATATGACTTTCTTCTTTCAGACGAATCCAGTCGGAGTTATATTAAAAATTGTCTTTGATCTTTCAAGCTGTTTAATGCC